GCCGGTGTTGGGGACACTCGGGGTGAAGGATCATAGGGCTGTGGGCCATCTTCGTGGCTAGGCACTTTGACCCACCACACTGAACATCTAAAACATTCATGTTTATTTGAACATTTTCCTGGGTTATTTGTGCTGCGCCACGGAGCTGATCTGTGCATGTAGCTGAGCTGAGGTCATATCCACTTTTAAGAGAAAGCATTTGCTAGAGACTCCAGTCCACGGCTTAGCGATCCCGCTGCGAGAGCTTCCGGCAGAGCCAGTGGGTGCAGGACGGGGAGCCAGCGGTCTCTCCTGAGAAACCTGCGTGAGCCTCGAGGCGGATTCCCGCGCCGTCGGCGCCTCCCACCCCACCCGCTATTGGAAACTGTTGTTAAGTATAAGGAGCAGCGGGTCTTCCCCCGACGTCCCCGCCTTCCATGTTCCAGGACCTAGTTTGGGGCCCAGCAAGTTGCTCAGTTTGGAGGAATTGGGGCGCCTCTGGGCGGTGAGGCGTGGTGCCTGCGGGCGCTCCCGCTCCGTCCGCTCCGTCCGAAGCCAGCAGTTCACTGCCTGTCCCGGGCCTCGGGGTCCCCCGGGAAGGGTCTTGCTGTTGAATCCGAATTGTGTTAGAAGCGCACACACAGCAGCTGTGAGAGCGCGTCGGTTAACCTGGCAACTAGTTCACATGTGAACACGCGCTCCACCCCCTCCTGTGTCCTGGGAGTGTCACCGGGACCACAGACAAGGCCCGTGGGGACAGGAAAGGAAGGCTCTGTCCTCAGGACTCGGGTCAGAACTTGGTGTTTTGACCAGGGTTTCGAAACCTTCCATACAAGAAACCGGTATGACCAGCATCAGGGAAGTTCCGGAGTCCAACCCTGGACCCGTGAGGGCGAGTGTCCGCAGGGCTGCGCGGCGTTAAGCTGGCGAACGAGTCTCCCTGTCTCGCTGGTCAGCAGGCCCCCCGGGCCTTGGGCGTCAGTCACAGCGGCCACGCCGCCGCAAGGGCGCCCTGTGCGGCCTCCTCCCCCCAGTGCCTACGCTTCGCTTTCTGCAGGGCTGCCTTTCAAGGAACAGGCGCATTGACCACGAACAATTTTTGAGGGAGGGGAGGGACCGCTGCCGTGTGGCCAAACCCAGGCACGTGGGCGGAGACTGCCGAGCCCTGCAAACGGTTCTCGACCTCAGGGACTCAGGCCGCGGCCTTCCGGGGAGCGGGGACCCCATGCCTTGATTGCGATCATGAGGGTGGACTAGGGGTCTGACTGGGAAAAACAAACTGGCAAGTAAAGTGATGTGCAATGGGCTGCTCATCGTATGGTGTCTGGTGGGGGAGGGGGCCTCACACAGGCCAGAACCCGATATCCGATATCCGTGCGAACCTAGAGCCAGACCTCTGAGGGCGCCTCAGGAATGCCCTCCTGTCCGAGCGTGCCAGGGGCAGGAGGGGAAGGAAGTTTACAGTCTGAGGGGCGGGCAGATGAGCTGTAAGGAGATAACGTCGTGTTGTGACAGACACGCTGGACACACACGCCTGCACCTCATCACTCGGCCAGTTCTATGCTCCCAGGCGCACGGAGGAAGGAGGAGCCTCAGGTCACGTTGCAAATGACAAGAACACGGGCGGGGGGGGGGGGGGGCATGTAATTAAAAAGTGCACATCAAAATACTAGTGTATTTCTGCTGCTCGAACTACGGGTTTTCAGTATGTTGTGCCTTTGCGTTTTTCATTCTCTACAAGTCCTTTCCTCCCAGCAGAGGTGAAGCTGTTTTGAATGTTCTCTGGGCTCCTTGCACCGGGGGTCAGCGGGGAGCTTCGGGGAGGGTGGCGTTGAGCTGGAGGTGGGAAGGGGAGGGCTCGGCTAAGCCAAGGCAGGGGTCGGCCAGGAGGGGCCTTGCTCGGAGACTCAGCTGGACAGAGGGTGCTAGAGGCTGGGCCTTTGGCAGATCCCCGGAGCCCAGCCACTCTGAAGGCCGACAGGACTCTCACGAGACATCCATTCAAGTGCTGCCACCAACTTAAAAACCTAGAGCAAGCAAGGACAGCTTTTGGTGCCTGTTAAAAATTCCAGTTCATTACTCTAAGTGTGAGCTGGTCCCTGCCAGTGGCGGGCAGTGCTGACACGCAGCAGACCGCTGGCTCCCGGCTCCCAGCTCCCGGCAGGCTCCCAGCTGCCCTCTCCCACCCACCCCTGCTTGAGACGCATGCAGGCTCTCTGGACCCCAGAGCTTCCGGGCAGCACAGGTACCAGCAGCAACTACAGGATAAAGCCAACCTCTGAGCTCAGTTAAGTTGCAGACTGAGTGTGGCCTTTATCTTCAACAAGGACAGCAAACCCAAAGCCGCGCCCAGCTCCCGCTGCCAGCTTCTGCTCTGAGGACATGACATGCATTATGTCCTTAGGAGCAGACGGCAGCACTATAACTAATTAAACCCACCACAATATCACGGCAAATCACTTTGCTTTTCTAACAGGTAAATGTAACTGGCCGTTCTGTTTGGAAGCGTACTCGCCCAACATCAATTCCTTTAGTTTCTAGAGAATAGGAGCGAGAGGCAATCTCATTTTAATTATATCTCTTTATTGCTAACAAAGGAATGATTTATGCAATTAAATTAACTGGCTAGAAAATTATTCTCAGCTGGGCTGTCCTGATTCTTTGCTTTCTGAACCGCAGGCTCTTACACTTGTGTGTGTAGATTAATTTTCCTGATATGCAAACAATGCCTCTTGTGTTCGCCTTTTCCTTTTTTATATTCAGAGGTTCCCTTTTCTTCTTGCCAACGACACGAATAATATTTATTGAACTGCTTGGCTCTGACTACATTTTATTTTTTAATGTTAAAAAGATAAAAAAGATCTTTCCTTTCCAGCTTCATTACCCCGGGCAGAGTGAGGTCGGAGGGTCTTGTCTGCGGTCCCGGGAAAGCAGAAAAGCAGGAGGCGTGCAGACGCGTGGGAGCTGCACCGTGGGGAGCGGCTTCGCAGCCCCAGAGCGTGTCATGAGCAAATGCCTTGGGGACCCTCCCTCCCTCCTCCTGGCTTTCCTTGTCCCTCTGCCTCCCCCGCCCACCCCAGGGCCTCTCTCCCGTTATTCCTACCGGTGCACCCAGGTAAATGCTGGTGCTGAACCACAGCCAGCCCACCTTTGTGACCTCCGTGAGTGGACACTGGATGAGGTCCGGGGGAGGGGGTGATGGAGGAATGCGAAGACATCCACAGAGCCGGTGGCAGGAGGGCAATGTCTGGTAGAGCCTTACGGCAGAAGGTGGATGCAGAGAGGGTGATGACATTACTTACTTGGGACTGCCGGCATTGCGTGGGCCTGCATTACTTCACCTTTCAGATAGGAGGAGGGGAGTCGCAGAATACCAGGTGGATGTTAAGTGACGGGAGGACGCACAGACGCAGTAACGGGCGCTTCCCCTTTGCTCGGCCTTACCTGCGAGGCCAGCATCCTGGGGCCGGGCAGGATGCCAAGTGCTCTTTGCCTGCATGTCCTGTGTCTGCGGTGCGGAGCGCTGCCGTGGGGGGGGGGGCGGCAGCCAGGGGCAGCACGGGAGCCAGGACGGCTGTGACTGACCGCAGATGGGGCTGCTCCGTCCTCTGGTTCACCCCCAGCCCCCGCCGCCCGCACCGTGTCTGAGGGAGGAGCCCTCCCTGACAAACCCCAGGCCAGAAAGCACCATGGGCCGAGAACCAAGGCTGCCAGTCAGAAGCGGTAACTAGTTTGCTTCGAGGACCTCAGGACCTGGGACGGACCCTCTCAGTGGGTTTCATGGACGCAGTAGATTAAACAACTGCTGCTCGGGGGGCAGGCTCTGCGTGGGCGCTTAGTCCCCGGGAGGAGACGCAGACGCCGCAGGGGATGCGGGCATTTGCAGACGCTGGCAAGCGGCAGGCAGCCTGGTGCTGACGACAGGAGTCTCTGGGACCCTCACCACTGGGGCCGGTGCCCAAGGGCAGAGGACGGTGCAGACCCCACGCTTCCCCTCTGGCTTGGATCCCGAGAGATGCTGCCGTGCGCGCGCCGACAGCGGCGAAACAGAACAGGGAGGAGCAGCCTGACCGTGGGGCAGGAGGTGGTGCGCGGGGCCACGAAATGCTACGCAGCAGTGTCCGTGGAACAGAGCTCCACGCAGAATGCTCCCGCCGCTTCGCTCGGCAATGAAGTGCCCTCACGGGGCGCCGGCAGGCCTGCGCCAGGCCCTCCTCGGGGTGACAATAAGTGAGACGAGGGGCAGGAGCGTGCGCCCCACGCCGTGCCCGCGCGGTTAGGGGAGCCGCACGGAGGCAGCTCCCGTGTAAGAAACTCTCACTTGTTTCCGAGCGCGGGTCCCGAGAGCAGGGGCACGGTTGTGGGGAGACAGCAGCGAGGGCTGAGGTTGGAGGAATGTCTTCTGTTAAACTAGGGAGGCACCGCTGCTTGCAATGCAGTAGGCGTCTGTCCCGAAGGGAAGGAATCCCTTTCTCACAGGAAAACAGACGACGTCACGTTGGTCACTGAGGTCACCACCGCTGGTTCCAGGAGCTGCCTGCCCCTCGGCCTCCCTCCGAGCTGAGCCCTTCAGTCCTGCGGGTCGAACCTGAGAGGCCACAGCATCAGGTTTGCAAAGCAGGAAGGAGGCAGCGTTTCAGGGAGACCTGTGGGCAGTGAGTGGGGCCGAGGGCAGGTGACCGTCACTCATCAGGAGAGAAGGGAGCCACCCTGACGGCAGGCCGGGGGGGCCCAGGCTCGGCTCCCAAGTGACTTGCTACCGTTGGGTGGGTGTCTCAACTCCTTGTCTCAGGAAGTCACCATCCTCCGTGTTGAGTTGTGTGGAATCTGAACTAGAACCCCAGAAGCCGGTGCTCAGGGACAACCGCGATACCATCACCCAGGAAGGGGAAATCGAGGCAGACTCGAGCTTTGGCTGAACAGGCATCCTTTTATGAACTTTTAAAATAACTTTAAGATGCTACTTAGAACCTATTTTGAGTCTAAATTCTCTCACACTTTTCTGAGTTGCTCTGATCACTTTAACATTTTCAGCTTTGATGTTCCAAACCCTAGGCCCTGGAGGCAGTGCGGGCAGGAAGGCAGCGCGATCGCAGGGGAGCCGAAGGAACTGCGGAAGGAGGGGGAGGCCCTGACTCTGAGCTGAATTTCATACTTTTCTGGTCTTTCTAAAAATAGGGAACATCCCGTGAAACTGAAGTCAGATGCTTTAACTTCAGCCTGCAGGACGCGGATTTCAACTTCCCGTGCTTCGTCATCCGATGGCTTAGCTCCTTGAAGGCGTCAGTTGAACTTGAAGTTACGCAACTGCTCTACACAGGCCCCGGCTGCACCTGTGCCCTGCACAGCCGTTTCCATTGTGGTGATAGCCTTTCGTGTTCACATTGAGAAGGCTTTGGGGAAAATTCTAAATTGTGTCATTTATTCTTCAGTCAGAACAGCCGATAGAGGTTTAAATGTGGGTATGTTTGGGGACGGAGAGAGATGAGTGAAGACATGAAACTTCTAGGCCATATGCTAATGTTTGGTATGGAAAAGTGCATGAAAGATGAGCGTTTTTGTGGACAACCATGAAGCTGGGTGAGGGGCTGTTATTTGGCCACAGGACGAAAAGGCTGCTGCCCGAGTAGCACAGAGGCGGGGCAGGTGCGGGGTGTGCTTCGCCAGGGCTGCCAGCGCGAGCCGGCTCCTGGCCCCAGGCGGAGCGGAGACCTGAGGCAGTGCCCTGGTTCGGGGGCTCGGTTAGTTGAGTGTCATCCATACACCAGAGGGTTATGAGTTTGATCCCCAGTTGGGAAGCATATGGGAGACAACTGATTGATGTTTCTTTTCCTCCCTTCCTTTCTCTCTAAAATCAATTAAAAAAACAAAACCTTTTGCTTGATGTAGTCCCATGTTATTTTTAATGCATTTTAAATTTATTTTTGTACGTGGTGTAAGCAAGTGGTCCATGTTCACTTTCATCATGTGGCTGCCGTTTTTCCAGCACCACTTACTGAAGAGACTGTCCCTACCCCACTGTGTAGCCTCACCTTTGTGTAGACTGACCACAGGAGCGAGGACTTATTTCTGGGCTCTGCTGATCTGTTTTTATGCCAGAGCCATACTGTTTTGATTACTGTAGCTTTATAATATCGTTTGATATCAAGGAGCATGGCTGACAGGAAGAGCTGGGGCCGAGTCATGAAGAGCTGCAGAGCTTTATGAGTTAGGATATGTCCACATTAAATGCATTATCCTACAAATAATAACCTATGAGTGTACACAAAATGACTGAGCTAACATTTAGTACTTCTGATACTTCCATTAAATTCAACTTCCAGTTACAAACATTAAACCACACAAGCTATTTACAAACCACCTGCCACATGTGCATCAGGTGGGCAGCGTGGCCATCCTCTTCCTCAGCTCAGCTGCCTTCCCCTCCAGCTCAGCACAGCACTCCTCGGCCGCCTTCCCAATGCCTTCATGGTATTTCTCCAGAGCCCCTTTCAAGGTCAGAAATATTTCCTAAGTGGAAAGTGAGATGGAATGAGTCTATGCAGCCATCTAAACTGAAAATGAGTTACAAGAATCATGGTCTGATTCCTATTTATTAATACCACGTGCACGCACACACGCGTCTATTCTCACTAAAAAACCCTCTACAAGCCAGACAGACACATCAACCACGTCTGCTCCTCAGAACAAGCCTGTCCTGTCACCACGGCCTGGGTTCTGAGACATGAGGACTTAACCGTCAAGGAAACTTCCACTTTGCCGCTCTCCATGGCAAACACCAGGCACACACCTAGGCAGCGGTGGCAGCGAGAGCCTCTGCCCAGGACCCGCCATCACTGAAGGCCTGTACACAGACTCACTACGAGCCCACGGGGCTGGGAAATGGCCCAGCCTCACGTGGCCAGGCTGCTCCACCAGCAAGAATGAGTTTTCACCCAAACCCACGTGCATGTCTGAACATGAAGAAACATGAAAGCAAAAGTTTTCAGCCTGAAGGTAGTTTCTTCCATCTCATACTTAGCCAATGCAATTTTGATCTTTTATTATTTATTTTTAAAATTCTCAAACCTTGTGCTGGGGCCCTGACCAGAGTACGCCGGAGGTTCAAGGCCCACTCGCCATTCGCATGTGTATAGGCAAGGACACAGCACATTACTAGGTTAAACGCCCCTTTGCCCTACACATGCGCGAGGGCAATGCCTCAGCCGTAGCACTATCTGTACTGCGCAAGCGCACCCTCATGTAACCTCTTTATGTTAGTGTAGCACGAGAGTCACTAATTGGCACGAGACCTCTTTTGTTTGAGCGTGTATATCAGGTGCCCCTGATCAGCCAGTTGTTGGCTGCTTTGTTCACAGTAAAGCATGTCCCACCCACCTGCTGTTGCCCATGTGTTCTTCCCATTTCCTGCCCCCAAGGGGGTCCAGTCCCTGGCTGAGGAACTTGCCCCCCCCACCTTGGTATAAGAATAAGTAGGATTCTGAAAGGTTATGGGAGGGGGGTCAACCTCTACTCTAGAAAACTGACGAAATCTTTAAAATGAGGGTGGCATAACTGACGTCTTCAGCTGGTGAGATGACCTGAAGTTAATTTCTCATCAACACTCACCTGGGACTTCAGTTTCTCCCTCTCCGTGGTATCTTTTAGTTGCTGGATGGCAAATTTAACTTTTTGGATTTCTTGGTTAATGGTGGTTATTCGCTCATACACAGCACCTCTTTTTTCTTGAACTTTATTGCAATCTCTAAAGAAAATGGAGACAGCCGATTATAATTCCTCTTCAGCATCTAAAGGGCAAACATTTAACTCTGAATCCAATTCCAAAGTGACCATGTGTATCTGACACACCTCAGCCTTGTCTCAGGAATAAAAGCGAACGGATGACCCCAGTGTGGGGCTACACACGTGCCGGGTGCCCATAAGCCACATGGGTCTGACATCACAGTCCCCACCCAGGGTGTGCCTTGCATGCCACTGGTGGGAATGTGAGTCAGGGCAATTCCACTGTGAGGCAGCTTGGCCACAAATCTAACGCCCAGGCTCTGCCCTTTGTTTCATCCACAGGAGGAACAAAGCAAAGGAAATCGTCCCCCGATCCCTAACATGACACCTGACATCCCTGACACCCATCTTAACTATTCTTAGCACCTTAGCTCAGACGGGAAGGAGACTGCACCAAGGGACCCCCAGCTCACTAGCTGACAGCTACCACGAACGTTAACACTACAGCTCTTCTCTGAGCACAAAATCCACGGTGCTGCCAGGCTGCGACAGCCCGGTGCACTGGGAGGTGCACTGGGAGGTGGACTGGGAGGTGCACTGGGAGGTGCACTGGGAGGTGGACTGGGAGGTGGACTAGATGGACTAGGAGGTGCACTGGGAGGTGCACTGGGAGGTGGACTGGGAGGTGCACTGGGAGGTGCACTGGGAGGTGGACTGGGAGGTGCACTGGGAGGTGCACTGGGAGGTGCACTGGGAGGTACACTAGGAGGTGCACTGGGAGGTGGACTGGGAGGTGCACTAGGAGGTGCACTGGGAGGTGGACTGGGAGGTGCACTGGGAGGTGGACTGGGAGGTGCACTAGGAGGTGCACTAGGAGGTGCACTGGGAGGTAGACTGGGAGGTGCACTGGGAGGTGGACTGGGAGGTGCACTAGGAGGTGCACTAGGAGGTGCACTGGGAGGTGCACTGGGAGGTGCATTAGGAGGTGGACTGGGAGGTGCACCGGGAGGTGGACCACCTGGCCGACAGAGTAGAGCACTGAAGAGTTATGCAAATCACAGAATTGTGACCCTGGAAAGAAATCCAGTACAGCAACATCTCCAAATCTGGACACGGCCCCCTAAGACCCACAGCTGGCTCATCTGTTCCGCCCCTCACTGTGGAACACCTTTCTGAAACGGTACGGGTTTTGGAATCTCAGGCAAAGCTCTTAGTTATCCCAGTGCCCGCCCTGCCCTGCCCTGCACCGCTCCGTACTCAATGACCGTGCGCTTGTACTGCTTGACGTCCTCGTGCTTCTTGTTGATTTTGAACTGGGCTGTGGCGAGTTTTTCCTTCTTCACATTCATCAGTCTGCGCAAGGAATTCTCTTCCGCCTTCAGTTTCTTCAGTTCTGACTCCCCGCTCTCAATCTGGTCCTCTAGGTTCAGGTTCTGTGTCATGAGAAGGACTTCATGTCAATGCAACCAAGTAGGGTTTACAGACAGAATGAACGACTCTTTCTAGAAGAACAGCAATCAGACATGCTCTGAAAGGAGATGGAACAGTTTCAGCCCTGCACCCGCAGAAGCATGCAGATGGAGGAGACACCAGTAGGCAGGGACAGAGAGCACGTGACACCCACAGGGCTTCTCTTGCTGCTTTCTCGGAGAACTGGAATAGAGGTGCGTACAAGACCAGCTAGCGGCGAAGGAGGAGCAGGGAGGAGGGTGGCCCAGATCTGAGAGAAGCAGGGACCTCCCCCTGCTCTGCGGGCTGCCCGAGGGCAGACAGGCGAGAATGCAGTGGGGAACCAACACCTCGGGCCATCTCACACCCTAACCTCTACTTCCTCAGGTAAGAAATCCCTCACAAATGCATGGGGCGTGGCCTGGGGACAGGCAGGGTGAGGATGGGAAGGGTGCGAAGTGGGAAGAGTTTCTAGCCAGAGACACTTAATGCTGGTGCTGGCTCTCCGCCTGCAGGACTGACACTGTCACTAACTTTCGTCTCTAGATCTCAGGGGGCACTAGGTCACCTGGAGGAGCACTTCCAACAACTGTGAACTCGAGTTTAAAACTTCTGCTACTTTTCTCTGAAACCCAGAGCAACAAGCGATGTCAGTGACGCCACCATCGCCGTCCCCTGGGGAGAGCTGGGCTGAAGAGACCAAGGAGCGCTCTGCCCCAGCACACAGCCCGCGGCGCTGCAGGGACCTGCTTCTTTAGGACACGGTACCGGAGAGGAAAGCAAATCCCAGGCACTAACGCCCGCAACGCCAGGGAGGACAGAACAAACCTCCTTTAAGACACCGGCCAGCTTCTCCCTGTTCTCCGCCAGGTCCTGTATTTTCTTCTGATACAGCTGCACCTCCAGCTGACAGGAGGGCAGGCCGTCCACCGAGTCGCGGTACACCTCGTACTTCTCCATCACTTCTTGCTTGGGGAGAAACGCAGAAGCCGGGTGAGAGCCCCGTTGGGAAGGGCAGTGACGTCAGTGCCCGCTGGGCAGTGATGCTGCCGCGGAGCAGCAGAGCGCACTCAGACGGCCGGACAGCGCGGTCATGCCGCCTGAGCCCAGGGGCGTGGGCAGAGGAAAGCTGCCTTCACTCACCAACGCCCTCTCTGAAGCGCCCCCAAGGTTTCTCCCATGACCTGAAAAGGCTCCATTTCTGCCAACACTCCCACCGCCGATTCCTCCCAGGCAGCTGCCTCCCGATTATAATCTTAGTCCTTTGTGTAAAGATGACTACTCCAGCTCATTTTTAAAAAAGACTAGTTCCTCTTCTAAAACCAGAAATGAGCACTGTTGACCACACCACCCTAACAACGAGGGCTTCTCTCCTACCCCAGCCCCTTCTCAACCAGTGGTTGTCATCAGCAAACTGCTCGTTTCCCGTGGTCTTTTTCGTACTAACAGCACCTTGCATGTCGTGGACATAACGCATCACCTGTCACGTGCTCTACAGATATGTCCCATTCCTGCACTGTTCTCTATAGCTTTGGGGTTTCCTATCTTAATTTTAAAAATCCATCCCAGACCAAGATTATATGTGTTCTCTTGAAATTTCTAAAATTGCTGAATTTTTAAATTTTAATCCCGTTAAAATGTACTTTTGCAAGTGCTGCACGTGTAGACCCGACTCCCTCTGCTTCTACATGAGCAGCCATTGGATGAGAACTGCTTGCTAAATCCTCCCCGCTTCTCTCAGAACATGCAGATCTCTCGGGGCTCTCGTTCCTGCTCTGTGACCTTTGTCTATTCCTGTGTGGGAATTCTTAATACTCGGGAATTACCTGCGTAACAACCTCAGAGATGACCCGGAGTGTCTTTCCATAGTTTATAAAACTTGCCGCATAAAAGATGCTCAATCGTCCACCCACTTCTACTGAGTCCCACTCTACCCATCTCTTCCCACAAACACCCAGGGTCTTTAAACACAAATCCTACCACGCCCAGCACTCCCCTCTGAAGCAGTCGCTGCTGTGCCCTGGCTCTCAGGTCAAATCCAGCACCCTGAGCCTCGATCTCTGCCTAGTTTTCCATCACCTCAGGCCACTCTCCTTCTAGGCATCATGCTTTGCTCCCAGAACACACCTACGACCTCGGAAACTTTGCATATGCTGTTCCCTCTGCCCAATGCAAATGTACTAGGATTACCTGTTCGTCCTTCAGGTGTCAACCTCAATTCCCCTTCTCCCCCCACCCCAATTTCCACAGGGTAAAGCAGGCTCCCTCATCAGACTACTTCAAAGCACCCATACATTTTCTGTTTGTTTCTCTTTGTGGTGATTTTTCAAAAACAGATTTTATTTCCTGGAGTTTTACATTCACAGCAAAATTGAACGGAAGGAACAGAGATTTCCCATATACCTTCTGCCCCGACATGCAGACCCTATGCTTCTTCATAGTACATACTGAAACCTGTTATTATATAGTCTATGATAATAAAAGCATAATATGCTAACTAGACCGGATGTCCTTCCGGACATTCTTCCAGACGAAGCCGGGCTGCGAGGGAAGCCCAGGTCCCAGGTGCCTGCCAGCAGCCGGAGGGAAGCCTGGACCCCAAGGGCCGGAGGGACAGTGCCAGCAGCCGGGGAAGGAAGGCCTACTCCTGCACGAATTTCGTGCACTGGGCCTCTAGTTGGTTATAAAACTGTTTAATACTTTTCCCCCTTAAAATAAAGTACCTAAGTCTCATGAGGGTCACCCAGGGCAAAGCCTAAAACACGTGTTGCCTAAGTGCACAAAAGCCTTCAAATTCTATGTCTTTATCCCAAACCCACTTTGAGAAGAGCCACAAATTAGAGATTCGGGAAAAACGCTTAAAAGGGAGAGATGGACAGGTAACCAGGAAATCAGATAATTAACAAATGATTAGACAACAGTTGCCAAAAAGACAGAAACTCATTAAAATAGAAAGGAGCCTGGCTGGTGTGGCTCAGTGGATGAGCATCGACCTATGAACCTGGAGGTCATGGTTTGAGTCCCGGTCAGGGCACAGGCCCAGCTTTCAGGCTGGATCCCCAGTAGGGGTGTGCAGGAGGCAGCCGATCAGTGATTCTCTCATCACTGATGTTTCTCTCTCCTCCTCCTCCTCCTCTCCCTCCTCCTCCTCCTCCTCGCCCTTTCCTTTCTAAAATCAATAAAAAACATGTAAAATAACATTTAAAAAAAGTAAAAATAAAATAAAAAGGAAACTTACCCTAGAATTTTTAAGCTTCTGGACTGTATCTTTCATTTTTTCTTTATAATTCTTCACCTTCTCTGGGGAATCCACAATTTTTGTTTTCAAACTCTCTTGTGCTTCTTTCAAAGAAACCACTGATAACTTTAGTTCATTCTGTGGAGAAAACCTTTTTATATATTAGATACGACATTAGGTTGGAGATTTCCCATTACAATGGGAAAGAACAAGGAAGTCAGGTCCATGTTCGTGGCAGTGGGGGTGAAATTAAGTGATGGCCACAGTGTTTCCTGCCTTGAGGCTCACATTCGTGTCCAGGCCCCAGGCCAAGCTCTCCCTCAGTCCCTCAGGCTCCTGTTGTGTCCTGGCCCTCCAGTGTCCCGTGGCCCCCTGCCAGCTGGTCACACAGGTCCTGTGATGGGCCATGACAGTGTGGTCCTCCTGAGAGTCACCACCTCCGCCTGCACGGCCTGTGTCCACGAGCCCGGGAAACCCTGCCCCGCCTGCTCCAATCCCTCCATCGGCTGGACACAGGCTCACACCCACATGGTCCTTGTGCGGTTCAGCTGTTTCTCAACTGACAGACAACGTGGGCATGTGACCACTTAGTTACTTTTCATCTCCCAGAACCCAAGCAAAGTAACAGCACTGAGAAGGTGCTATGAAAAAAGTTCAATTCGATTCATTTTAAGGGAAAAGACACAGGAGACATTTGACTATATTACACCCAGTTAAACACTCCACACAAGCTCCCCAACCTCAATGCTGCTGAAGGGAAAGGTGCTCACCAAATGCTTGGTTCTCTCTAAAACATCGGACTTCTTTTGGGCATTTCTCTCTTGCAGCAACACCTAAGGAAAAAGCAAACACTCTTTCATAAGGACTCAGAGCAGGTTTAGAGAGCCTCTCGGAGCTCTGATAAAGCTAAGGTCAGAAAAGAGCTGGGGCATTCGGCCAGCACCCTCACGCCCTCGGTCCACACTATCCGGCCCCACCCCAGCCCCCCTACAAGTACCCACAGCTCCCTTACTGAGCAGCTCAATGCAATAGCTGCTCAGCGCTACGGCCGCCTCAGCAGCCCAGACAGAAGGAAAACAGTGCCGTGGTGCCCACGTGACCCGCTCTCGCGGAGAGGAGAGTCCGTGGGGCTTCCTAGGTCCGATGCTACCGTCCCCTAACTGCACTGGCAGCCTGGGCACCGCAGCAAGCCCTCCGTGCTTCTGTCTGTCCAGTGTCTGCTCATGCACTCCCGCCCCCATCTGCAGAGACGCTCTTCTCAGAGTCGAGGTCTGCCAGGACACACACCGTTTTCTGCCGGAAGTCCTGGTTCAGCAGCTGCTGCAGCTCCTGGATCTCGTCGGAAAGCTGCTGGAACTCGGCCTGCTCCTCCGCTGGAACAGAACTGAGCAGAGCGGCGCCAGTTAACCCCACGTGGTGCCAGGTCTGGACTGTGCGGGCCAGACTGAAGGCTGGGCCTCCGGAACTTCCCCGGGAACACCCTCTGCCTTCATGTCTGACTGAGATGGACCAGCTGCCTCCAGGACACGCTCCCTCCACTTCCCCCATCAGGTCTTCCTTCTTGGGGACCACTTCCATGGGTACCGTCTGCGCACCCCACCCTCTGACCCAGACTGAGAATACAGACTCAGGGCCCTCTGCCCTGCCCGCACGGCTGCTCCCTGGGCCCGGCAGCGCCTTCTCTGGCCCTCCCAGGCCTCCCTAACTGACCCTCACATGCCCAGTCTCCTCCACAGGAAGGTTCTCCGGGTGAGGCTCTAAAACATGGTCTAGAATCGTTCCTTTAATTCTGTCCCCTACTGCCAGCGAGTCTGACAAGCTCTCATTCCCAGCCACCTGCGTTCATCCCGTCAGTCCCCTCATGCCCCCGGGGTCCACCTTCTACTGCCATTCCCCGGGGACGGGTGCTTTGCTGCACGTGCTGCCAACACTCCCCCAGTCTGGCCCTGTCGCTTGATCTGCTGCGCTAAACCCACCACGTGAACTTGAACATCTGCCTCCTGTGCTGTCTTTTCAGCTACTGCTGTCCCTGAAGGCAATTCACAGGAAGGCCTGTGCAGCTACACTCAGACCCCAGCATGTGAGAAGGGGTAAAAGTCCGCCAGTTCCAAACCAGAATACACAAGGCCAAGGAACCTAACTCGCGAACGGTTCTCCTCCTGTCTGGCCGGAGTCAACAAAACGCCCCTCTGCTCAAGTAGAACGCTGACCACTAACGGCCCGCAGGGAGCCACTGCGCTCCTGTGCAAGCTAAACACTTCCGGGGCAGCTCCAGAGAGCGAGCTATCACTTGGCACGTGCCCAGCTAATGCACTAACAGCAGGAAAGAAACAAAAGATGTATTACACCCCGAGAGTGAGAAAAAGGAAAAGGTCAACTTAAAACAGTGTTTTAGGTAAGAAAGATAAGAGACTTGAGATCCAGTGTAAGGCTGTCAAACGCTTACAATCTACTGTGCCTGCTTGAAGTGGCGTTTATTTTATTTGTAAATCTGCTACTTACTCCAGTTTCTCCAACTTCATTAGCGCCTCCTGGTGAGCCACATTTAGCTGCTGCATTTTGTCCACAGAAGATTTCTATTAAAGCAAGTTTAGTAACTTCCCATTAGCTCCCAACATAATCAGCAGCAGGCTCACACATCACCGGCCAGGGCAGCGCAAACGCTCGCTACCCCTTCACCGTCAGAAACAAGCATGTGAGACGGCACCAGGCGCTGGGACAGCGCATCAGGGATTTCTGTGCTTCCTCACACAGAAGTGTTGGTGCAGCGCCGGGAACAGCACCTGAGACGACAGTGCCTGGACGCCAGTAGCTCGGTCGCCCTGAAGAGTCAGTGCTGAGTATCAGCCACAACCCAGCTTGTTCTAGTGCTAACCACAGGGGCAGCAGCCACTTGGGTGGTGGCCAGGGGAGCGTCACAGGGGTCTTTGTAGAAATGACAGATGTCTGAGCTGTGCCTCAGAAGTGAGAAGAAATGAGCCAAGCCGCGGTGTATGCGCATGTTGGCACACACACGTGTCGGCTTGGGGAGCGTGTGACGCTCAGGAGGTACGGGCGTGGTGTGGTCTGTGCTCAGTATGGCTGGACCTGAGTCTGAGTGCCTGACTCGGGGCTGTGCCCACAGCTGCGGACAGAGGGGAACAGCCCTCCAAACCCTCGGAACTGCAGGATGTGCGCATCTGGGACAGGGATTTATTGGACGGAAGGCGACCATGCGGTGCGGGGCCAGCATGATAAACAAGCAGCATCAGTCAGGCCGTCACTGAGGAGCAAGCGCCAATTCCAAGCCTCGGTGATTTAAGGGCACCGCTAACCTCAACAGGGACCTGGGACTCATCACGACTCTCCTCCCTGCCATTTCCTAAAACAGGAAGAACAGCCTCAGCCACAGGAGTAAACAAGCCCAGCCTCTCCCTAACGTCCGTCACCAAACAGCCAAGGCAGCCTCCCTGAGGTGCTCCCCGTAACTAGGCCTGCCGCTCACATACACACAGCCCGCTCGGTGCTACAGCACTCAGCCATGCGCGACAGCCGATTCACAGCAGATCACTAGTTTATAACGATGCTACTGGTCTGGTCTGCGACCCCAGAATCCTTTCCAGTCTTACATATTGCCAGAGAAACTCCATGTACGTGTCCCGGCATGCTTCCCTGAAGTGGATGAAGTTGATGATCCCACTCAAAAACCGACTGGTCCGTTTGGCTTCTAAAATAGAAAGCAAGACTCCTTAAATAAATCTTTGAAACAATATAAAAGTGGAAACTACCCTCTCCCACATGCACTCTGCTCGCAGGACACAGAACAGAGCTGGTGTGCTGGAACAGGCCAAGGTGCACTAACTTAAAGATCAGAGGATCTCTGCATTAACAACTCAAAAAAACGTTCAAGGCGAACCACGTTTGGCCACGAGAAAAGGGCAGAACCAGCTTTCTCTCCCCCTTAACCAATCACAAAGCCAGACACAACGGGCTGCAGCAGCCGAGGACAGCAGCCCCGAGGGACACCACGGCGGGGAGCCCTGTCCACGTGCCAGCCCACCGCCACCCACAGTGTCCGGGCTGCGCCCAGGGAGGAGGAGCACAGACCCACAGCTTCTGCTGAGCCATGAAGGAGGAGTTAGAGTTTGGAGAGACCGAGGCAAACAGAATTGAAACTGGCCTCTCCAAACTAAACTCCATTGCCCACCTTCCACTCCATCTGTTCAAGGGAGAGAGAAGCACCAGCAGTATAAGGAGAAAAAGAAAAAAACGTTTTAAAAAGACCTGAATCAAACTTTTACGATTTACAACTAGAATATGTGAAATGAAAAATCCACTCAGCAGGATTAACAGCAGACCTACAGAGGCAAGGACCAGTGAAAGGAAGGCAGCAGGAAAAGCCAGAGTCGAGCGTGAACAGAGTACCGTGCGCTGAGGGACACCCCCAAACAGCACAACGAATGAGTAAGGGGAGCCCCACAAAGAGGAGTGGCAGAGGGACCTTCATAAAATAGCCCAACACTCTCCACACTTGATAGAACTACAAGTGTATCATCCAAGGACGTAAGCAAATCTGAGGGAGGGGGCGGGAGGGGACACAGACAAATCCCTGAGAGGCGCGCGGATAAACTGCCGAGACCTGCGGCAGGAGAAGCAGCCGGCGGCAGAGGCAGCGGGTTCGTCCAGGCTGAGGAGCAAGGGGTCGGGATCACTGACCTTCACACAGAACAGCTGACAATGCCCGGGCCCCTCCGGCCACAGGGCCCTGGAGCTGGGAGCCCTGCAGGATGTGGGACCTCGGCAAGGCTGCACACATCCCAGCGAAAGGATGGATTAGGGCAGTGATGGCGACCTTTTGAGCTCGGCGTGTCAGCATTTTGAAAAACCCTAACTTAACTCTGGTGCCGTGTCACATATAGAAATTTTTTGATATTTGCAACCAGAGTAAAACAAAGATTTATATTTTTGATATTTATTTTATTAAATATTTAAATGCCATTTAACAAAGAAAAATCAACCAAAAAAATGAGTTCGCGTGTCACCTCTGACACGTGTGTCATAGGTTCGCCATCACTGGATTAAGGGAAACTCTCCCCCCAGTGCAGGGAGATGACGAGCTTACTGGCACCTCTTCCTTGTCATTTCTGAGACAATCAACTCCTCTGAGAAGTCTAACTGTGGCCACTGCCACATGGGTTTTAGTGGAAGTAAACTCTGTGTCTCTAGAACCATCAAAATTAAGAGTTAAGATAAAAAGTGGCTTTAGACAATGATAACCATGGGGGAACTTCCAGAAGCAGAATGAACCTCAGGAGGGACGTGGCCTTGACCCGGAAGCTGAAGACGAGTTTAAACTTATAATCCAAAATGCACACGGGCACCTGTGTGCACGCACACACACGCACGGAAGAAAACCCCCCTCATCCGTTTGTGGGTGCAGCTGAAGCGGGGCTAAGGGGAAACTTATGGCACTAAACACCTTTATTAGAAAAGAAGAAACGTCTCAAACAATGGCCTCAGTTTCTACCTTAAAAAAATAAACACCAGGGGGCAGGGGGAAAGAGCAAACCCAGAGCAAGCATGAAAAGGAATAATGCTAAGCACAAGAGCCAGTAAAATGGAAAACAGAAAAATCAATGAAATGAAAAGCTTTTTCTTTGAAAAGACCAACAGAAGAACATTCTCAAATGTAAGGAATTAAGAACAACTACCACTCGATGTGCGGGCACATCTAGTCAGAGGGGCCAGGGAGCAGTAAGAGTGGAGAGAGAAACTGCTCGAGTCCCAAAACTACAGAGACAGGTGAAACGATGCGGGAAGCCAGGAGCGATGCTATGTTCCTACCTTGCCAACCTAAGTGGAAGAAGGAGTCCCTGGAGAATGGAGACCAGCAGAGGAGCCCTTTATTTATTAAAGAGACTGAATTCTTGCCCTGACCAGTTTGGCTCAGTGGCTAGAGCGTCGGCCTGTGGACTGAAGAGTCCCAGGTTCGATTCCGGTCAAGGGCATGTACCTTGGTTGCGGGCACATCCCCAGGAGGGAGTGTGCAGGAGGCAGCTGGTCGATGTTTCTCTCTCATTGATGTTTCTAACTCTCTATCCCTCTCCCTTCCTCTCTGTAAAAAATCAATAAAATATATTAAAAAAAAAAGACTAAATTCTTAATCTGAAACCTTCCCATAGATTTCAATTATGCACTTACAATTGGCGAACTTTTATATAGTGTCAATTACACGTCAATCAACAAAACAAAAACCAGAGAGTCAAAGAGGACAAAACAAGTTGTGAGCAGCACCCCAGACCTCTTGCTCCAGGAGCCCCTGGGTGTGTGAGCATCAGAGGCAGAGGTGAGGGCACAGGAAGTCAGGACAAGCGCACCTTCTGGTACAATAGCGTGACTATTCGTGTTTTACTGAAAGACATTTTCTCCCTGGTAAACAGTACTTGTACATTTACATCTGATAAAACTGAGCCCACTATGCCACATCACAGCTTGCCTATTACTTGTATTCATACTCTCAATATACGGAACATTCTCAAATGTAAGGAATTAAGAACATCTCAGAAAAAGCTTTTCTGTGGCTCTGCAAGGACAGCACTCCAATATGAGGACATAAGAGAATCATCCTTCTGAATGGGATCCTCCTTCCTTTGGGTTGTACGTTTATTCGTAGAAAAGTGTTGAGAGACTCTCACTCACTTGGGTACAGGATGTCGGCCGTCTCGAAGTCGTTCACGCGGCAGATGGGCAGAAACGAGTTCCTGGAAGACGCAGTAGAGAAAACACTGAACAGTGTGCTGTCGATCACACACAAGCCCAGGACAGAAAGCTTCTTTTCAACGAGATTTCTAGATATATTCTGAACGTCAAAGGACCACAGCAGACATGCACTGTGGCACTGAAATCGCCTTTTCTGTACATCGTGTGAGTGCCCGTGCCCAGGCACAGTGGTCGATCCACATAAACAACGCACACTCATGGAGGTACTAGGACTCTTAAGAACACAACGGCCTCCAACAATTTTATGTTCACACCCCTTAAAACTTCGATTCAAAGTGCACACGTGGAGGCAGTGAGTCATGCTCGCTGAAAGTCTACAATTTAGAATACATATGGGACGGAGTGGAGAGCAAGAGGGCAGACATTCCTCCCCAAAGAAAATCGTGTCATTAAGAAAGCTTCATGTAACGTGGACAGGGTTAGACTAAGCAAATAAAACAGCTCTCCTCACAGGTGAATAAACAGGTTGCTGACGGGTAAGAAGCCTTCCATCAAATGCGGGTACATGACGTCCGAGTTCACGGGCATCTGAAGGGGAAAACCAAGTTACACATTAACCTGACGAAACGAGAAAAGTTTTCAAGAACCTCAACCACAAGTGAGATCAAATTATATTAACTTCTCACTAAAGAAAAGCAACCACAAATGGTATAGATCCTAGAGCTGTGGTTAATATTAACAACTAGGTTCAGAGGGTGTGCAAGAGCGGTTCTGAAGGCAGGAGGAAGGAAGGGCGCTGGTTCCGGTTTCTACGTAGCAGCACGGCTACGCCGGCTTTTACACGCGCTCGCTTACCCGCAGAACAAGCCCAGGGCAGAGCGCGGGCCTGTGTCAGACACGGAGCGAAGGCTTAGATTCTACACAACCTGCTGTGATGCTGCATCACCTGCACCTCCAGACGGCGCTCGGATGAGAGACACATCTCCTGCTAGAAATCCCTGACGTGCTAGAGCTCAGCTGCCCCCCTCGGCCGCTTTCCCCCCCGACGCGGCTCCGTCCTGAGGACAAGTCTCTGAGCGCCCGCTGGGAACCTGCACACCCGAGGCCCTGGGTCTCTCCCTGGTTTCTGTCTGACTGACGCTGTCAATATAAACCATCCTTAGGCCTGAGATGCCTTTCTAAGTGACACTTCATACAAGCCTTTCATTTTGTTACAAATAAAGTGAAGAACTTCCTGCCCTGAACCTGAGCCTGGAGGGTGGGAGGGTGGGAGGGGGAGGGGGGAGAGGGGGGAGGGGGGAGGGTGGGGCGCGAGCAGAGTGGCCGCCGACCCACCATGTAGAAGTGCTCCAGCCGCGCGCCGTACACGATCTGCAAGGCCCTCAGGTAGATCATGTGCAGGACCTCGGGCTGCGGAGAAACGCCTGTCAGTGCTGGGCCACCGCCGTCCTCACCCCACAGTCCCCGCGCGCAAAGGACAAGACTGACATCTGGGGGGGGGGGGGGCTAGAAGGGGTCAATGGGGGGGGAAATGGGGACGTCTGTAATACTTTCAACAATCAAGATAAATTTTTTTTAAAAGACTGAAAAAGTTCTCTTTTTCACTTGAAACATTTCCCTTCAAATAGTTACTTTTCCCAAATTTGAAAATGCCTTATATACTTACCACTTCTCCTAAGTAGTAAGGGGTGGTAAGATGGGCTGCCTACGCTCACAGACACAATGAGAGCAAGTCGATCCAAATCCAACCCCAGCAACGCTCCCCCCCCCCCCCCCCCCAGGGAAGAGGGGCCAGTCTTCCCAAACAGGTGGTCTGCACTGGGGTGTTTTTCTTCAAAAAGGAGGTCACCCAGGGCGGCCCTCCGGCTGCCCTTCCGCCCGCCCTTCCGCCCGCGGCTTGCGGAGCCCAGGCTGACCCTCCCGCCAGCACGCTGGAGGCAGGAACCTGCACGCCGTTCCCACCCACGTCCCGGAGTTAGGAGAACACTGCGGCGGGGTCTGAATGTGATAGGGTGGCCAGGGATGTTTACAGCGTCATCTCCGAGAATAGCAGCTCCCAAATGCGGGCCGCAGAGCCTGTCCTATCCCCATGCAGCTTTCTTAGTCCTGGGAGCCTCCCCTTCATTTTAAAGAACTAAAGGGCAGGAGACCAGAAAGCTGTGCCCCACACCATGACCCAGGCCTCCTGTGCTATCGCTTCACCGGGACTCACTGGCCACACGGTTCATTTCCGCACTGAACACCTGCAGATCTAAGCAACACGTCACTTCCCCTGGGGACACAGTGCAGGAAGGCTAGCCGGAGCGCCCAGGGCCGTTTCCCAGCAAGCCCTGGGCCTGGGAGCAGAGGGCACCCTCAGAGCACCACTCCCGCCACAGAAAACGCAACAGGAAGCAAAGGACCATATTAAAGGACTGAATTCCTAGCGGAATGGAGACGTCACCCCACATGTAAACTTGTTATTTTAAAACGACACGAGGAGCGTCTCAGTGGATTAAAACGACTGGCTGCCCCAAGTACTGGGCGCAGGCCCTTCTCCACCCCCAGAGGCCCCGCCTTCAGCCCCTCTCACTGCGCCCGCCCGCCTGCAGGCAGGCCCGCCTCACCTTCGGATTGGGGTACAGGTCACTCTTGGAGAGGTTTTTACCATCAGCCCCGGTGAGGATTTTGTTTCGAACGTGAGTCACAATCTCAGCTACATTGTATCTGGGGAAAGACAAGGTCTCCATCCTGGGGGTCTCCGCGAGTCTGGAGGAAGAAGAGAGGTCAGAGAAGGGCAGGGCGGCAGCGCTCCCTCGGGAAGCCGAGCGCGGGAGCCGGAGCCGAGCCGATGCGCACCGGGCGTCCGCAGCCATCGGGCACCCGGGCAGGGAGCCCGGCCTCACAGCCGCCTGCAGCTCCGGCCACTGCTGCGCTGGCGGAAGCAGCTCTCTGGTCCCCACGCTGCTCCCTTTCATTTGGTTGAAGAGACGGGGAACCATGTTTTTCCTTCTTTAAATTGGGGGCACATCGATCCTGAGAACTAATCCTCAAAGCAAGATGCTAGGCAGCACCCTCCGCAGAACCGTGTGTGACAGCGACGCTGCCCTGTGACCCCGCCTACCCCGGGACAGGGTGCGGGGCGAGGAGGGAGAGGAGCCACCAGGGCAACTTGAAAGCAACACAGAAACCCTCGCCCGGCGTCCGCCCACCTGGCGGCGGGGGCTCCTGCTCCGCGCTGGGTGCACCGACGCTCAGGAGGGGGTCCGGCAGCCGCCTGCGGCCGGGCCTCCCGCTCCCTCCTCCCCGCCCGGCAGGAGCCGCTCCCGCTCCCACGGCCGCTCCTGCTTTCCTACCGCGGACCCCCCTCCCCGGGAGGCCGGGCCCAGAGCCCAGCGGAACCCGCTCAGCTCCGCAAACGAAGGGAACGCCCGCTCTGGCCCGCCGCGCCGGACACCAGGGCAGGAACCACCGCTGCGGGCGGGAAGGTCCCGGGACTGGGCCTCCAGCTCCGCCCCCACTCGGGGCTCCGAGACCCACCGCGGGGCCAGGCGGCCGGAACCCCAACCCCGCCCGCGTCCGCCGCCCCGGCCGGGAGGACCGTGACTGACACTTCGCTGGACCGAGGCGGCGCCTGCAGGCGGAGGACCACGCGCGGGCCCCGCTCGGGCCACCGGCCTCCCCCTCGAGCCCGGGTATAACGCGGCGTCCGACCGCTGCGCCCCTCACTGTCGCTGACGCCGGGCCGCCCACCGCCTCCCCGCCTCCCGCCCGCGCTCACCGCTCCGGAGACAACCAGCCCGACGAGCAGCCTCGGGCGGAACCACCCCCAAGGCGCCGACCGCTGTTGCAGTTTAAACCTGCCGCCGGCCCGGGAGCCCCGCCCCTTCCGCCTACTTCCGGTAACGGTCACGCCGGAGGCCGTTGCGGCTCAAAAGACTGGAGCGGCGCGGGCTCCAGGCGGAACCTTTCTCGGGGCTCAGGCATCCGGTCGGACCTGAACTCCGCCGGAAGTGGGCGCTGCGGCTCGGTGCGCGTCGCGGGGAGGGGCGCTGCGAGCTCGCGGTTGGATTCGTGGTGCTCTCTCCTCTGGCTGTCCTTTGCGCTACGTATCTATATTAACTATGAATGAATAGGTAAACAGATACAATGCTTTTGAATATTTTCACGAGCATTTCGGTGCATAGATATTTACATATAATAGTTCCTATTCTGTGAAAAGCTGGGCTGCAGATACACTGAAGATGCAGCAGGACATGGAACAGCAAAGCCTGGGGACGTCTTGAGTGCACGGCGTAGTCACTGGGTGGCGCCGTTGCACTAGGAGAACCTGACACCGCTGCAGCTTTCTTTCATTTTCTTCTACACAAGTAAACAGAATGACACTGATAGACACTGAACACTGTTCCGGGTGCGACAATTGAACCCTAAATTACAGGCTTTAAAACACATGATTAGAGTCTGGGCTTGGGAAGGAAGACGATGCTGGCTCTGGCCACCTGCTCGCCTGCCCCGCCCATCAGCTCGTCCTCACTCCTGGATTCGGAACTGAACTCTGTTTCCAGACTTCAAACAGCGCCTTTGCTAACGACTCATGCGGAGTTTTCCGTTAGAAACCATAAAATGCATGTTCTTTGCTAAACGCATTTGGGATGAGCTGCAAACCAGGTCCCAGGAGGCAAAAATCGGGAATGTTAGACTCTCCCCCAACTCCCGCATCAAGTTACAGGATTCTGACGTGATCAGTAGAGAGAGCCTTGGGAGTCAGTTTCCCAAATTAGCTGGATAGTGATAAAATGTACTGATCCAACGTGACTTCTTAAAAAAGTACAGTGTTCATGCTCTGGGGTTGCAACAGTGGTTTTCTAATACCTTGTGATGTTTCCAGTTATTCTAAGGGAGTTAATGAGACTCTCCGGGAAAATACTAGTATGAAGGCACATTGATGTTAAAATGAGTCATTATCACACAGATTTTGTGAAGAAGGAAGTTTAAAAAAAATGAAACCAATGACAGTGTCACAAATCAGAAAACTCCGGGATAAGCAGCTTCCTGGCCTACGGAGCCTTTGTGCCGGGGGTTTCTGCGCGCTGACGCAAACCCAGCAGGAACCCCGGGAGGAAATCACTGCTAAGTCCTCATCTTCTTTTCGTGGCTCCAAATCCTGTTTTCTCTCAAAAAGGAGACTAGTATTTTCTGAACACATTTCTGTGTATGTACCACGTAACATTATCTAATTTCACCCCTAGTGTTTGAAGGGGAAAACTGTCCGTGTTCACCCCTGTTTTTTAAGCAGACTCAACCTGGTAAGCAGGTTGACCAGATACATTCAAAATCGGTACCTGAGTATTGTTCCTTGGATAGCCCATTGAGGTAAGATTTATGTACCATTTGCAGATGGTGCTTGAGAGTAACGATGCTAGCTCACATTCATAAGAGATGTCCGAGACCCTCTCCAGGGACTACTTCATTTCATTCTCACGGCACAAAGCAGCTCCTATTCCCATTTTCCAGATGACAAACGAAAAAGAAATTCCTTAAGAAAACCTGGACAATGTGCTCATAGTCATGTATCTAGGAAAAAAAGGGACCAGCATTTGAACCCTAGCAATGTAATGGTAGGAACTCTGTTCTTGGCTACTTACTGTGCCGCCTGGCCTTGGACCCACATGGCAGTGCCAGACACCTGCTTTCCATACACGATCCACGGTTGTCCCCCTGGGTCTTCCCACAAGGACTGCATTCCTAGATGCCTTCTGGCCGCTACTACCTCCCTCCCCACCTCCCCACACACACACCTGTGAAAAGAGGCCTGTGGAGGTGAAGCAGTTCTTATGGGAAGGATTCAGCTCATCGGTCTTTGCTCTAACTCCTGAGCTCCCTGTGTGTTCCTTGTGTCCCTCCAGGCGTGTGGTGGGCTGGCATTCTCACAGGAGTCTAGGCCAGGGGTGGGGACACAGTGGATTAGGGCCGCCCGAATGACCTCATCATAACTTGATGACCTCCATAAAGACCCTGTTGCACATGAGATCGAATTCTGGTGTTTTGGGGTGCAGACTTCCCATGTCTTTCGGACTTCAAAATCTGGAGGACAAATTCAACCCAGAACACGCAGAACAGCAGCCTTCCTGAGCAGGACCCATAAGTAGCCAGAGGGCTCAAGCAGCACCAAGTGCAGCTCCCCTCTGAGCACAGCCCCGGGTTAAACGGAGCCCTAATTCCCTGTTGTTTTTATATGGCTGATGCCCTTGGAGTGCAACCTGCTCAGTCCACGTGGCTCGTTCCATTTTCCTTAGAAACAACTCTTAAAAGGCATCGGGATAAACGCAGAAACAAAGCAGGCGAGAAGGCATGCTGGGCAGAACCGGTGACAGCTTGGGTCTCTGTCCCAGAGAGAAGGGAGATTTCATTCAACGGAGCGGAGAGGGGACCCTGATTTGCCAGGACCGGCAGGTCCGAGCTCTAATGCTGCCTGCCGGGAGGATCCACAAGGACAAACCGGAGGATCGGAGCCGAGTGCCAGCTTAGAAACACACTCACGTGCCAGCCCAGCCGGGTGCCACACTCACCTGCCAACTGTGAGAGGTGTTCGATGTACAGTCAGCGCTCAGACCCACGTTACCGAGACCACATCCGCCCTGAAGGGGGTCACCTGCACGCGTCCGTCGGGAGGGACTCCGTGCCAGGGTTCACGCTGCGGGGTGGGGAGCGTCCGGCCCTGGGGCCCTGTAAGGCCTTGAAGTCATTGGGTCTGGCTCTGCCAAGGCAACCTCAGGCAGGACTCGAAATTCAATACATCTAGGAACTTCTTTCACAGCAACATTAATTTATGTTAATGAATAATATTAAGCTAGTGATGTTATAAATATCCAATAGCCCTCGGCAGAACAAAGGTTCTCCCCACCCCCCCAATCCCAGTTTACAGCTCCTCTCACAGCTCTCCAGCGGGGGACAGTGACCTGCTCAAGAAAGGCTGGCGGAGCGGACAGTCAAGTCAGGGGGCAAGAGCCGGGCAGGAGAGACGCCAGCAAAGGGCGAGCGTGTCTTCTTGTCCTTGCCCACCTGTGCACCAGCGGACAGGCCGCGCAGGGCGTGCTCTGGAGGGTGAGAGTGGGAGTGGCTGGGAGGCTGAGAAGGAGCTCAGAGGAAGAGCGTGTTTGTGCCCTGAGGAGAGCGCCCATTCTTGTTTAGATGTTCCGGAAGCAGAAAGTCCCGTGTCGCCTGGACCTGCAGGGCTCAGAGTCACTAAGTAGGAAATGCTTGGGGACAGACCCAGGACTCAGAGGCTCTTGGTGAGGGACACAGTGGTGGTGGGGGAGAGGGGCCAGGACCTCTAGGGCCCAGGGAGGGGCCCCCCACCCTGAGAACATCACAGCAGGGCTGGAGTGAGACTGGCCTGCAGATCCCGAGCGCCTCCCCACTCACCCCTGCATCACTGAGGCCACCAGCCAAGGACAAGCCCAGAATGCCTCCCCCCCCCCCCCCCGGGGCGGGAGGTGGTGGCTCCTGAGAAGACCTCTGCATCTCCCCCGCATCTCCCCTCCCTCCTCCTGCCCCCAGCTTCAAAGAAATAGGCCTGGGAAGAGGGCAGGGCTCCGCCCTCCTGTTTCAAACTGGCAAGTCTGTGTTTTGATAAGCAGATGTGACTAGAAAGTTGCAGAGACTGCGCACAATGCCATTAGAGAAACGAGAAAGGGAGCCTGGTGCAGGTGATCATGGGACGAAACAGGTGCCAGGGTCTGCGATGCTGTGTCGCCAGCGCTCTGGCCAGGAGTGGCCTTACCAGAAGGGGCTTCGGGCTGGCACCCTGCACACGGGCCAGACCACGAGTTCGCCCACAGGACTGTACAGTGTCCCCTCCGGCTCTTCTCTGGGCTCCACCCTCCAGTCATCAGTCACTGCATTGGCTGCTATGTACTTAGGACTTTCCTGTCTATACATTTAACTAGAACATCAACGGAACAAATACACGTCAATTGCCTGTTATTAAGCAGAAGCTCTATGGAACAGCGGTGGTATAAGTATGAAGAAGGTATTGCCCCTGCCCTTGAAGGGGCATGTGTGCACATGTGTGTGCATGAGTGTGTGCATGTGCATGTGTACCTGTGTGTGTGCATGAGTGTGTGCACCTGTGTGCGTATGTATGGGTGTGTGCACA